ATATATACCTGTGTAATGCTCAGTCAATAGTAGTGAATAGAGATACTGGTATATATACCTGTGTAATGCTCAGTCTATAGTAGTGAATAGAGATGCTGGTATATATACCTGTGTAATGCTTTGTCTATAGTAGTGAATAGAGATACTGGTATATATACCTGTGTAATGCTCAGTCTATAGTAGTGAATAGAGATACTGGTATATATACCTGTGTAATGCTCAGTCTATAGTAGTGAATAGAGATACTGGAATATATACCTGTGTAATGCCCAGTCTATTGTAGTGAATAGAGATGCTGGTATATATACCTGTGTAATGCTCAGTCTATAGTAGTGAATAGAGATGCTGGTATATATACCTGTGTAATGCTCAGTCTATTGTAGTGAATAGAGATACTGGTATATATACCTGTGTAATGCTCAGTCTATAGTAGTGAATAGAGATACTGGTATATATACCTGTGTAATGCTCAGTCTTGAAGGTTCTGCTGCTGGTTTCTGTTCAAGACGCAGTTTCAAACATTCATGCATCACATGCAATGGTATCCGTATCAAAAATAAATAGGTAGGCCTGTCAAAAGAGATCAAAGAAAGCTTATAAAAAACTCATGTGTTAGAGTATTGGAGACACATTAAAAATAATTCAAAACAAGACATGACATGTCATGTCATAGCCCCCGCTGAGAAAAAATTTAAAAACTTATATTGAACTGGGTTTGTGTCAGAGTGAATTAATTCATTATGAACTGTATTAAAATTCCATTATTAATTGTTCAGAATTGATGTGTTACAATTTTAGGGGTGGGGTAAAAAAAAATATTCATTTGGCTTTTCTGAGACAATTTATAACTTGTTAAACATATAATGCGATGTGCACTTGTAAATAATTATTACCAGTCCCTGTACCAACTTTGAACAAAACTGGATGACACATATCTGAGAAAAAGCTTTTTTTTTAGATTTTTAAGAAAAAAATGGCCTCCAAGCCGTAAAAATTTATTCAATCAAACAGGTCATGAATGACACCGCCTTCACTTGTTGTCATTTGAAAGTTGCAACATATAATTTGTCCAGTTTCTGGCATGGACATAAATTGGCAAACATGATTTCTATGGCATTTTCAAGTTTGTAGCACTCTCCATGCTGGTCTCAGAGAACCCAAGAGAGCACAAACAAGTAC